CATGTCTTGTTTTAAACTTAAAGTTGTTGTCCATTTCTTAAAAATTGTTACTTACCTGCAATTATCCAGACAGTTTGAGAATTCATTTTAAAGGACTTGGGTATATGTAGTCTACAAGTCTGTCACGCTTGCATGATAATATTGACAACATGGAGCGCAGAGCCTCACGACATCACAGATTATGTAACATGTCGCGGATAAAATCCATGCTAAAGAAGCCTCTGGAATACAGTTCGATCGACGAACTGGCTAAAATAGTCTTCCTGGCTATCTTCATCGTTTTCAATGGGATTTACTGGTGGTACTTCTTATATCTTGTGACGTAAACACGAGACTAAAGCTTTCTCGTAACTTCTCGGCTGCAGGGGCGTCGTGCGATATTCCCTCCCTCCCACTTTAATAGCAAAACTCTAGAGTATTAGAGCGTTCTTCAGTCCAGATACTCTAGATAAATTTAACACAGCTGTTATTTTAAAACGCTGACAGCAATGAAAACTCTTTTCAAAGGTAAAGAATAATCCTAAACAATTGAAACACATTACACATGTAGCTTTGATTACTTTTATTATAACTTTCCTCCGCACTTTTATCTCAAACTTCCAAGATGTGCAAAGTAATTTTACAAGAATTTGTACGCATTTTAATACTGTTAACACTTCGCTGCTTGCAATAAATACTAACAATTAAATCAGCACCTAGAATAGTGGTACATGACACACATCTATATTTTTAATTTATTTATAACGGGCCTTGACGTCAGATATACTTCGAACTGCATTCTGACTTCAGTCTCTTTAATCTTCGCTCGTGACCACAGGCTCGGCTCTCTTCGCCAGTGCCCAGGCTCCCTCGCAATCCAGTTTTCGTGCGGTCGCGCACAAACTTCGTTGATAGTTCCGTAGAGACTTCTGAAGGAAAAAGTAGATAAAACCAAGCAGCTCAACCTGATATCTGTTCATCATTCATCAGCAACGGTGAAATTTGAAATTATATTGTGTCTGTTCCCCTAAATAAGCGTAATTGAACGATTGGAAAACTGTTTTCGAAACAAAGTCAACCAAAATCAGTCGTCAAATCTACTACAAATAGAGGGCAAACTGTTTGTTTAATTGATCTATAAGCATAATAAATTATCTCTTTGATAAGAGTTTGATAACGATCTGGAGTTTCCCAGAGAATGAAAATTTCTCAACAAGGAAGTTTTGCCTATATTTTCCGATAAGAAAGACGTTCAACTACTTTTAAATTGCGCCTTTTTTTAAACTTCTTAAAATTAGTTTAAAACTTTCAGGTATCTGAATTAACCCTGCCATCTGAACCCAGTGTAGAGAGTTTTTAAACCCAAAGCCAAACACATCATGTTTAACCACCTGATTACTGACAAAGCAAACCTCCTTAGTATACCTTTGCTGTCACCACCCTCTTGCCAGGGATTGGTCCTGTAAAACCTTCAGTTTCTTCCAAGAGGAACATCAACAAAAGAATAGAGTATAAGAGAGCTACCGACTTCATTTTGACAACTTGGTAGAAGATCTTTGTCCTTCAAGAGACTTCCAGACTGAACACTGGCGATAGAGTTAAATTGGTCTTCGCGACTGATATTTATTGCTCTCAGTGATTTATTGATCACTGACGCCAACGTTAAGTAGAATTAACTACTCACCATCTGATGAAAACGTTAATTACTCCTCTTTTGAGCACGTTAGATTAAGTCTCTCATCATTAACTGTAGGATTATATTGATGGTCGTGCCTTAAGAGATGAAATGCATTATTTAAAGTCACCTGCCGTTCTTATTGAAATACAAACAGCGGGTGAAAAAAGCGGGGCTTTGATACAACACATTATCGGGATAAATTTGCGCAAATAAACTTAACTGCCTAGTACCTCCTGCACTGGTTTTAATAGAACGATAGTCTTTCTCATTTTTAATAATTTAGAATTTAATGGCAGTATGGTCCATTTATTGTTAAATTTCAGTGTGTGGGGGACAGACGGCGATTGCTTAATATTTTCTTTTGTTCACTTCTTTTTTTCTCAGTGTGATCACTGCCAACAAAAGCACCAAAAATAGTTGCTTGCGTTCGGTGTCAAATTGAACAGATTCATCAAGTGTTTAGTGATAATTTTTGCAAGAAAAGTTCTTTAGGATTAACGCAATTCAGTGAGGGCAAAAATGAAAACATAACAGAAAATCAGATCATTAAACACACTAAAGAAATGGTTGACGATTAGTTTTTCTTTAATGATTTTCTTTAAAAACAAAAACTATAAAGACATATCACTGAGATCTTACAAAACTTAAGGATTCATCAAGTGGAGTCAGTCTTGACTGATCAAGACTCCTTCGTATTATGAAGTCGCGAAATTGTTCTTAAGATCAGTTCTCTCTTTGTTATTCTTAGCTGTCACTTTTTTAGCCAAACAACAGGGGCACGCAACGACGTTTTTCTCTTAAATACGTAAAACGCTGTTCAGCCGGTCGAGACGGCTTTTTAAGTTCTGGTAGGTTAGTTTTGTGCCACGCTAAATAATTTTACCTGTTCTGTCATTCTATGGAAACTCGAGTCCTCTGGAACTTATTAGGGTTTTTTGCTCCATTTCTCGAAAGTCTTAGGTCTTGTGCTATGGTCTAATAAACCTTCCAAATTCTTAATAGACCTTTTTTTCGTAACCAAAAACGACATTCTTATCAATTCGAAAATAACAGGCATTCTCATATGCTGGAAGTTCGAGGTAAGAATTCTTAAGAAAATCGGAGGTAATTAGAGGCCTAATGAACAGGTTATTTACCGAAGCGATACTTGTGCAAGCCTAGAACTCGGTGTTTAGCGGCGACATTTAGTTTGTCGCGGTTCATAGCAAAAATCATAAAACGAGAAAGCACGTGAGGTATAAATTTCCGCATAAACTGTGAATCATACAAGGCGTGGAAACATATTTAGAAACAATTGTCAACCAACTGACAAAAATTGACATTAAACCGCATTATTTAAAACGTTTTTTTTTTTGTCTATAAAATATTCCAATCTAAAGAATACGTGTATTTTCTCTTTTAGGTGTCTA